AAGGTAAGTAGATCTCCTCTTCTCTCTCCATAATCTCCCTTACAAGCACGACTCTCTTTCCTTTATCACTAGCACTTCCAATTTCCTACAAAATAAAATACCATAATAAGATCCACAATATCTTATATATGGAATAAAATAAACTTAATTAAGGAAATAAAATAATTGAAGATCTTCTCTTTTTTATATAGTTCCAGGTGCTTGTTCGAACTAATGCCAAAATAAAATATCTTTCACTGAAATTGAAATTAATTAATTTATTCTGCGATGTTTCCTATAGACCAGCAGCATTCACAGTAGAATTCCAGACCTCTGCAGCAAAATCCATATTTAGACATATAATCCTTGCCCTCTCGAATACGCATAAAATCTTGACGCCATGTGAGCGCCAAAGAAATCGAAATTTTTTTGAGGGCTTTTTTCTATTTCCCCCTTTATTTTTTCACTTGTTGAAATCGGCCAACGGCTGATGGATCAAAAGGGGGAGAGGAGAGAGCAGCGCCTTCCGCCGGACTACGTCTCGTTAGCGCAGCTTCGAGAGAGATGGCTTCAAAAACGACGAGAAGAGGAGATGAGAGATAAACAGAAAGAAGTGGAGATGATAGAGAAAAACGAGTATCAGAAGTCGAAAAGAAATTGGCCTGAAAAAGTAGCCGACGGCCGACGACGACGGGAGACCAACGGCGGCCGGGAGAGGGGATGGGCGGTTGTTGACAAAGGAAAGGGGGATGAGATGCCGATGGGCGGTTCGGAAACAAAGACGTATCAGAGGAAGAACAAGAAGAAGAATAGATACGGTAGAATGGAGAAATCTGAAAAGGAGAGTGAAGTTGAGCAGGAAAAGCTCCAGATTGACACTAATAGTGATGTCAGTGGTGGGATTAAAGAGGTTTTGAGTGGGAAAAACAGAGGAAATACAACTGAATTTAGAGGGGGGCTCACGAGAAACGGCGAAAATTGGGAGAATGGAGTTGGGTTTGATCAGCTGAAGGAGGGAGCTGAAGTGGAACTCTCTACAAAAAAGAAGATGGTTGAGAAAAAGGATTACAGTAGGAATCGGGGAGAGAGAAGGAGTAATCGTAATTATAGGTCGATGAAGAACGACGCTGATGTTTCGGAAGGTAATGTGGTGGAAAAAGAGTCCATGGATAGCACCCGGGATAAGAATTTGGAGGTTTACAGTGCAACGGGAAGACTCAATGGAGATCATAGAGTTGAAGATGAAGGCTTAAATGGTGATCAAAAGGCGGAAGAGTTTGTTTTAGACGTGGAGAACTTGAAAATTGAAGGAGAATTAGGAAATGGGTATAATAGGAGATATTGGAATCAGAAGGGCAACCATGGAAGAAAGTTTAGAGGTAGTTTTGATTCTAATGATAGAAACAGGAAAGCTGGTGATGTTAGGAGATATGGGAGGTTTGAAGGGCATCGGGCGATGACAGAGCGAGAGATGATCGGAAAGATGTGGGTGAGAAAGGAGGTCCGATTGGCAGCTGATGATGGTGCTCATCGAGTTGTCTTGTTTGGTAATATTCTTTTAGAAAAGTATTTTTGCTATCCTCCATATAATGAATGAGTACTTGCTGTAGTTTATTGAGAGTTGGCAAATCGAGTATTTCTCGCTGGAATTAGTTTTTATTTATATCTTGCTAAGACTCCCATATTCTGGTTGTGTTATCAATCTCGTTTGCACTTATCAGAACATGTGAGACTTGGCACGGTATTGTAGTTTTCAAATGCAAGTTTTGCTTAAGAGTACTTGTATGATTGAGTTAGCAAATGCACAAACTTGTTTACTATTACTAGCATTGTTGAGTTAGCAGATGTATGAACCGTTTCGATGTGAATTCGTTAGTTGGTTTGTAAAAGATGGGAAACCGAGGTATAAAATACAAACTTGTACATACCTCTTTATTTTAACGGGTAAAAAGATAAACTGGTAAGTTTCTTTAGATACTTGATATGGACTTGGGGATTGTTCTAGTATTCATCTTCAAGTTCTTATTATTACGTTAACAGAGATTTAGTAGCAACTGCTCTTGAAAGTTAGGTTCATATTCTGACATTTGCAGGCGTCTTGGTTTAGAATATGTTAAACGGATTTTCTAACTCGAAAGTGTCTTGAGCTTTTCTGGTAGAAAACTCATCTTTTGATCTGTGCTTATCGCTTTTCAGGAACTCCGGAGGATCAAGAGTAACTTAGCTTCAAGTGCCAATTTCTGGAGGTACCATATCTTTGTGGTTAAGGCCTTTTACATTTTTCGTTTGCCATTATGGTCCAGTGTCATAGGCGATTGTTAGGATGCTGAATCTCCTGTGCTCGGCTCGGTAGACGTGTGTATCCCAGGATTATTATGTCTCACTCTAATTTTTTCTTTTCTCTCAGTCTCACTCTAACTCATGTTATCAACGGTCGACCTTAACATTTTTCTAGTTAAAATTACTGCAGTAGGATTTGAACTAGTATTTAGTATTTACCATTGGATCAAATAGTGATTATCATATCTGAAATAGAGATGTGATATAACATTGTGTTCTTCTCTTTCCGTTCTAGACATGATGTTTGTCATGTGCACATTATGGGTGTGAGTGGATATAGATATATTTGATATTTGATTGTTTTTTATTTGTTAATCAGAATTAATTTTGAATAAATTAGCTTGGTTAGTTTTTAGTTGGATTTCAAGTTTCTATTAAAATAATGATTAAAATAAAGCAATTAAACTGATATGATTTAAAAGTAAGAGATTTGAGATTTGAAGTGATATGTAGTTAATATTATGTGAGTGAATGAATAGTAATTAAAATTAAAGTTGATGTGATTTGTTGGATGATTGATTGATATTGCTTAATTATATTTATAATATTGACGATAATAAAGTTGAATTATATTTGAGTGTGGATATATTTATATCAACTCTATTATGTGAGTAAATGAATAGTAATTAAAATTAAAGTTGATGTGATTTGTTGGATGATTGATTGATATTGCTTAATTATATTTATAATATTGACGATAATAAAGTTGAATTATATTTGAGTGTGGATATATTTGTATCAACTCACACTCTTGTGGACATCCCAGCGACTTCGGTTTTCCTTCTTCATATATCTATGGAATTATTCTCATCCTTGGAAAGGGAAGAATTCTCGGGAATGTCTGAATAGTAATGGTTCTCTTTCTAACCTTTCTCCTTTCTTCTCACCTTCAAGGACCTATAATGTTGTTCTATGCCCGAATAGTAATGGTTCTCTTTCTAACCTTTCTCATTTCTTCTCCCTTTTTTTTTTTTTT